TAGAAGAAAATCACTCGATTAAAAAAATCACAATTTTACTGTTTTGTCAAGTAAACGTGCATGGCACGTATGACTTATGATGCTAACTATAATATTAACACCTAATTATGAAAATTACACATCTGGCAGACGAAACTATTATTTTCATGCAGAAAAACTAACCTCTAGGAAAAAAAGGATGCATTTGATTGCATGCTTGCACTGTTGGTAAATATTCCAATGCACTCATCCATATTGTTTGTAAGGAACAACATTAAGAATTATAACCATTTGTCATCATTACCTATGAAGCTTCCTAATCTTCGGATATGCATGCAATGCCTCCTTGCTTTGCATTTTCTTTATTTGCTCGACTCCCCAGTGCCTTGTGGCCTCACCTTGCTCCTTATTCAACCTCGTACACATTCTCTCTTCGTGGTTCACCTCTCTAGGGCACTTACCTCGAAAATCTTCTTAGTAACATCAACCTGGAGTTTGGTCAGCATCTCCAGGTCCTTTTCCTCCAGGAGGCGGTCGCCGTACACGCGCTGGGTCTCGTGCAGCCAGCAGCGGAGGAGCTCGATGGGCGCCTTCACCGTCTCGCCCGTGCAGAACAGGAGGCCCTGTGGGAGGTCTTTGTCGCTTAAAAGTATGGCTACTGTGAATTTTATTCATGCTCTGTTCTGTGGTGGAGTTGCGATGGAACTATATCGAATCGACCCGCACCCCCAGGAAAAAAAATAAAAAAAAATACACTTCTCAGATTTTGAAAATCTGTGAAAATCATCTTGCTCTGGATTTCCTTCTTTGTGAACTGGACTGTACCCATATTGGCCTCTGAGGGCCAGCTGCTGTTATTAACACCCTTATAAATCTGAACATACCTGGAAGATGTTGGTAAGATCCCGTAGGTTAAAGATGTAATGGAACTTGGTAGCTGTTGGCATGAAAGTAGCGGTGACTTTCTGATGTAGTTGGAGTGCGGCCTGTACCATGGGCTCCGTCATCTGGTGTTAGCATTAAGAACAGGAGCGTATTTACGTCCCTATATTTCTTATCTGATTTATTTTGTTACTATTCCCGTTAACAATATTATTCCACATTTTCATTATCAATGAAGTTATTCAGCTTTATTAACATACAGTTCATCTGAGAGTTTCCTTATGTCCTCTGTAACACACACACACACGCTCTCTCTCTCTCTCTCTCTCTCTCTCTCTCTCTCTCTCTCTCTCTCTCTCTCTCTCTCTCTCTCTCTCTCTCTCTCTATCTCTCTCTCTCAAGTAAAGAGTTCTTCCTCACCCGAGTGAGAGTTGGGTTAAACTTCATAGAAGCGCTCTTCAGGTGTTGATCCAGAAGCGATGAATATATTAGGTTAAGACTCTCCATGCAGGGAAAGCTAAAAAACATAAGAAAATATTAACATAATTCTCTCTGTAGGTAAATAATGTACCGTGTAAGTAAACAGTGGGTAGAAAGTATGGGGAAAGATCAAACATAAAAAATAACAATACCCCCACTATATGTGGGAGTAGTATTACGAAGATGCTATTTACAGGAATCTTTATTGACGTGAAAATTTAGAACAATGACTAATATCTTAATAATGCATCTTCAAATCTACCATGTCCTGCAAAAATGTCTCAAGGCAAAGATTTTCCATTTGGTTAGTGTGTGTTTACGATCACCTTCCCTTGATTTTGAACATACACCTACGGAGGTTTTATTCTTTTGTGATCGTTATTTCTTACGTTTATCCGACAGCGTACCTGACAGCGAAGACATTGAAGTGACGCTGGAGCCTCGGGTTAATGGTGAAGGAGCCTGCCGTGGGATTCATGGCGGCCACGTACTGCACGTTGTGGATGTCCTTGAGCGTGTGCTTGGTGCGGTCGTACCAGTGGCCGTAGTCCATGTGCTGGCGGATGAGCGTGTGCGGCTGCACCGTGCCGTACTGAACTGATCGCGAGTATGGCGGAATTTATTCGAATTTTCAGAATGGTTTGGCGTGCACGGACTACTTCAGAAACCCTCGCGTACCATGGGCATGTTGATGTCGTCGATGAAGTAGACGAGTTTCTTGTTCCCCGGAGGAGCGTAGTTCTTCCCGGCCTTCTTCTCCAGGGGTCTCTCCAGCACGCGCTGCAGCAGCTCTGTGGGGTTGCAGATCAGCTTGAGAAATCTAATATTATTGTATAAAAGCTTTCATATTTATCGCTTTCATTTTACATACTCAAACGCCTGACCACCATTACAGTAGCGTAAATGGCCACAACACTGCTGTACTCGTATACAAAAAAAAAAAAAAAACACAGAGATAGCCGTTACCTGAGGTGGTGTAGTAGTTGAAAGGCACGTTACACACCGCATACTCCTCCGACAGAGAGTTGAGCTTCTCGTTGAGCAGCGCCGTCTTGCCGCACCCCGAGGTTCCCACAAGCATGACGGGGTGGCGCTTGCTCATCAGGAGGTCGATGAAGAACTTGAGGCGCACGGTCTCGCTCGTGTGCACCATCATGGACTGTGTATGTAAGTGTGTGTGTGTGTGTGTGTGTGTGTGTGTGTGTGTGTGTGTGTGTGTGAATGTGTTGTACAATTACACCAATATGAACGTTTAAATTTCAGATATCATTGTTAGTTTGGGGTTGTGGTTTTATGGCGAAATATTGCCGAGATATTGTTGTTAGTGTTATGTAACAGCCACAGAGAAGCAAGAAACATCAGATCAGTACAAACATCGCATGGAATCCCACTAAACTTAACATATAGTAGCAAGACTCATACTACAACCTTATAGTCACTGACCTCGACAAGATCAGTCAACATGCAACAAGAAACATGAACTTTTCTACAATTCTAATTATATACCTTCTTTCGCTTTTGAGTGAAACCATCTGCATACTTTTTGATGACCCTAGCTGGATGATAGTAATGGCGAATGGTAGTGTTTATGTTGACACAGCCTGACTAACCTAATGTGTATTTGTTTGAATGTCCTTAATGTTTAGTATATTTGATATTGTTGCTACTGTTATTGTTATCATCATTATTATTATAATCATTATCATTATTACTATTATTATTATTGTTATTATTATTATTATTATCATTATTATCTTTATCATTTCACGATTATCATAATTATTATTGATATTGCTATCATTAACTTCACTATCATTATTATGACTATCTTTACTATTGCTATATTATTCTTTATTATGTAAATTCCACTATTATTGTCACTAATATATCTACTGCAATCATTATTTTGATTTTATACTTGTAATCAGTACCGGTATCATCATTATTCTTAAATATGTTTATTGTTTTTGACAGATCTTTATACTTATCATTAATGTCATGAAATATTATTTATTATCTTTACCGCTCTTTACATTAATTATTCTTCTTAGACAAGAAAACTAATATTCCCAGATTGTGAATCAAATATTCATATTTGAGCGGGAATCTCGAGCTCTTATAAAGGTTGAGCCTCACGAGTCCAGCTTTCAATAATCCGGCAACTTCAATGGTTCGGAACAACTATCTGATGATTATGAAGTACCTTTGCATCACAGCTGACTTACGGTGGTTAATGGTACTATATCACCTTAGATGAGGATATTATGCTCGTAACTATCCTATATTTTGACCTTTTTTTCCCTCAGAATTTTACTGTACAGCAGTCCTCCGATCTCTAGTAATCTGGACTTGTAAGGCTAAACCTTCATCTGCGAATATTAAAGGTGCCAACAATAAGAGGGACATTCTCTGTATTCACGAAGGGTCTAAAAGTGTCCTTAACGATTTCGTCCATACCGCACTGTGATAATTAAGGCTGCCAGCTAGAACTAATGTTTACGTCGTAATACATCTTATGCTGATAATTCATTGTGATAATATCACAAAATTGATGCCTCAATGTACCTCACTTTTTGGTAATTCTACTCCATTTAGATGTAAACTTAGCACCTTCTACGTTTGTGTGGCTGACATAACGGGTAGCGCCATTTGTACTTTCGTATACAACACTGGGTTAAACATGGTGAAAATGGCTTAATTAACGTTTGACAATAATCCAGCGGTAATGGCAGCTAGAACGAGTAGGCCCCTTTTGACTTATTCTGAAACTTTAACTGATCCATTTCTTCATGTTTTCCTGCACCGTAAAACAAACAAATGTAGATTGTGCCGTGTTTGCATATAATGGTATTCGCCATACAATATTATTGTTATGACATAAACGATATCATTGTAATATTAATTTCATCATCTATTTCATTGGATTATCATCGTATGACCCATCACAGAATAATTGTAGTTCTATATCAGCAGCGTAAACTTTGATATACGGCGCAGTGCGAGTCATAGGCGGTATCAGTAAGGTCAGTTTTCAACTTTTCGTGAATACCGGAACCAAGCACGTCTGCAGTTCTTATAACAGGCATATACGGGTAACACATCATATAAATCTGACCCTTGAAGCTGGTTTGTGACAACTTAATTCCTTGGTTGTGGAGCTTTTGGTCGCAATACATAATGACCCATGCCTTGCAAATTTACAACTGTGAACTGCACAAGAATGCCTGTCTTACATACCACACATCCAATAACAACACTTTTGTATTTGTTAAGGAATTACTGTATTTTGAATCAATCAGCCTTCCGAAGCTTCTCTATAAAAGAGTTTTTACCATAATATTTATGGTCAACATATGACTATTGACGATGCTCCTTATTATTTATTTGTTAAAGTTGGCACTTAATAAATGTCATTTATTACTTAAAATCTTAACTATAATTTCAATTAATATTATAAAATTTTTAATCATTTACATACATGAATTAAGTGAAGGTACACGAATGTATATTTAGCTTGCAAATATTAAAGACTTTTTTATACTACCTGCTACGTGATGATGCTACTGTTCTAGGTGAAGTGTCTATGTAAAAATAACATCTAAATTCATGGTGAAGATTATACTAAAATATACTAGTGACTTATCACATCTAACTAGAGAAAAATCACAAGGTAACAGCAAGATGCATTATTGAGAAGTGACAGCCCGGTTGTGCGTCACTGTGTTAAGTGTAAGTAGTGAATGATTGAATTGTCAGACGAAAACGGATGAAAGAATTTTAGGTCTAAATAGTTAGATGAAATCAGTAAGAAATGTGAAAATATCCTAGTCGTAGGTCTGCTATTAGGGTGTTCAGATGGGAATGGACATAGATATTGAACTTGGCGCTAAATATCGAACACCGGTAATAAGTACTTCAGCCTAGTACTTCAGCTAGTAAAATTAATAGGCTATTAGTTTGGCGAAGCAAGTTGAATTTTATAGCAAGGGAATGAGATAGGAGAAGAATTTATATAGTATAAATCTAACAGGAAGTGGTGAGCAAAGATCTGATAAAAGATTAATGTCTTTGGAGGGCATTTCATCCTTGGGTGTTTGAAAGACAAGGTTGGATCTGTATCTCATGTCTCTTTGTGATAATCGTGTAAATGTAACATCACAGAACACATAAACTGTGTCCGGAGAAATAAAAAAGCTTTAATTATCTGTAAGTCTGATGTTGGTTATACAGACATTTTAGTAAAGGCAAGGCTAAAAAATAAGGCTAAATATTAATGGATGAAGGATGAGTCACATAGGATATATATGAGGTTATTTATAGGACAGGTGGTAAATATTAGGATTTTAGAGGCATTCAGTCCTCTCAGGGTAGTGCCACGGGTGACGGGTTAAGGTAACCTGTACTATTCATCCTGTTATTATAAACATATATTATTATTATTAACATACTGTAAATGTGTATGTTATGATTATGGATTACCTATTAACTTGTCTGTTCATGAATGTTTTAGTGTTTGCGATACGTTGTAGTAAGTCAGTTATATGTCACAGTTGTGTTATTATCTATATCATTGTCATGTTAATACACACCGTTGTATTATTAGTTTTACCGATTTGTTAGGTATACAGTTGAAATGTAAACGACATCATTACCCTTCCCATGGATATGAACCATTTCCTCTTCACTAGAAACCGACTACTAGAAAACGAAAATAGCACGGAGTTTCAAAAGGGTACCTACGCTGAGATTACTATTTTTAGACCATTTACTTTTGGAAATATTAGCGCCGCATAGTAATTTCTCTAAAAGACGTGGTTGATTTCTTAGTGTAATTCTGTACTAAGACTTCGCGATTTGGAACACGAAAAGGAGGACATCACAAAAGATTTCAACAAATAGACGTAAAGACATTTAAAGGACATTTAGGACACGAAAGACGCCAAGGACTTCGAAGGCACATCAAGGACACTGCAGGGAATGTGTGTGCAATGTGACACCGGGTGTGGGAAGCTGCCTTGCAAAGTGGGTAACACGTTGCAGTGGGGAAGAGGGTGGAACATGACAGTGCTGAGGAAGAGAATAACTAGATGTGAGGAGAAAGTGTTAGGGATATTTTCTGCGTTTAATGAGATGGCATATAACAACCCAGTCTTGAAAATTGTGATAGTTATACAGTGTGTGTGTGTGTGTGAGAGAGTTTATGCAACACACATACCAACATATGTATATGCGTGTGTGTGTGTGTAAATACACACACATATATATGTATATATATTTATACATATACATACATGTACACATATATACACATACATGCGTATATATATATATATATATATATATATATATATATATATATATATATATATATATATATATATATTTATATATATATATATATATATATATATATATATATATATATATATATATATATATATATATATAGTAAGTGTGTGTGTGTGTTAGAATGCATACATACACACACATACTCAAACACACACATGTGTGTGTGTGCAGATAGATAGAGAGAGAAAGGGAGGAAGTTTTTTGGGTTTTCTACAGGTGTAAGCTTGTATTTTAAGGAAATCTGAATGGACTATATGTGTAGTTGATCTCTCCTTACTATACGTGTCATATGCCACCTCGATCGGCAGAACAGGTATTGCAAGACCATTCAGAAATACAGCTGTGACAGCGAGAAATACATCTGAGTACAGGTGGGGGCCATTTAAGATGGTTCTTTTCCGGTAATTCTCGAGGCAAACATAACACATCGGTAAAATTAAATATATATGCATACACATATATATGTGTGTATATGTATATGTATATATATATATATATATATATATATATATATATATATATATGTGTGTGTGTGTGTGTGTGTGTGTGTGTGTGTGTGTGTGTGTGTATCTATATATATATATATATATATATATATATATATATATATATATATATATATATATATATAAATATATATATACTCGTGTGTGTGTGTGTGTGTGTTTGTATATGTGTGAGTGTTTTCTGTCTGCACATAAGTGTATATATACATATACATACACACACACACACACACACGGACACACACACACACGCATTATACATGTATATACACATATGTATGTGTGTGTTTGTATATATGTGAGT